GGGGGGGGGCACGTAGATTGAGTCTTACCTTACCAAATTTTTGAAGAGGACTTCACTGATAAACTAAATGTTCAACTGCTTAACACTTGTAAGTGTGCAACTGCAAGTTGAATACTTGCAAGTGTGCAACTCCGTAGTCGTACACTTCCAAAGTGTTCGACTCGGTAGGTGTGCACTGTCAAGTGTGCAACGTAACTGCTCGGTTGAACACTTCCTTAGATTAGACGCTTACTGTGTAGGAAGTGCTCAACCGGGGAGTTGCACACTTGCAAGTGCACGCCTACCGAGTTGCACACTTGCAAGTATGCAACTTGCAGTTGCATACTTGCAAGTGTTTAACTTACAGTTGCACACTTAGACGTGTTGAGCAGTTGAACACTTAGTTTATCAGTGTTTGCACTGTTAAATGACTACAAAGCAAATGCTTTGCAGAACTGCGAGGTATGTAGATCCTTTGTAACTACGAAGCATTTACTTTGCAATTACAAAGTAATGCTTTCCAATTGCGAAGCATTGCTTTGCAGGAGTCTGACAGTGTGCTCTTTGGCTTCAAGTGGCTCTAAGTCGTCACAATCGATAAATAAGAAGGCGCGTTGTGAGCCAAACATATTTGCACAATTACAATAGTTATCGCCAACTTTAACACGCACGATTTTGCGCTGCCCTCGGTCTACCACAGAACACTGAAAATTCACTACAAGACTTGTTCTTCGTGATAACCCAGAGATTCTTTGGAGTGTCGAGGTTATGTTGCACTTGGACTGAGTGACGTCACAATCCCACAGATGTTGTGGAAGACGTGCGACCCATCCCGCACCAAGCGGCGCTCTTCGATCCGAGCGGCCAGTTCTTTTGCTCCGGAGTCATCCTCAGCGAGACCGCCATCCTTACCGCGGGTCGCTGCATCTTCTGGTGAGGAACACTATGAGTGCACAAGGACAATTTTTTAAACTAGAACAGCACTTCTGTGTGCACATATTTAAGTTCAGATACAATATTGCAATTTACAACATACATTTCGTGACTAGCTAGATACAACAATGCATCTGAACTCAGTGCGTAGCCCCGGACTTTTGTGTACAAAACAAGCAGGATTTACACATTTTATTTGTACGAATTTAAGCAATCAAAATGTTAACACAACATTTCTGCCTTCATTTGAACACTTTTGACTTTTGTGCATTCATTTTCGTGGAATCAAGCATTTTTGCACACAAATTCGTCCGAAACGAATCGTAGGTTTAACGACGCACACACGTTTGCACAAGTACATACAGATACATTTAGCGTGTTGTTTTAAGTGCCCTTAGACATTTAGATTTAATGTTTTATTACTGGAATTGTATACTTTGGTGGCTCTTTGCGATCGCCTAACATTACCGCTGTGTGCAGGACCGATGACAATATCGAAATTCGAGCTGGAATAGGCAAGCTGGATCAGCAGGATGATGATATCCAGAAGAGAACCGTCAGCAAAGACAACCGATTTCTGCATCAGACCTACGACATCCTCACTTCGGCCGATGATATCGCTATCATTAAGCTGACCGAGCCACTGAAGCTCGTCGAAGGTAACCATATCAACGAACCTATTAATAACGATCCACAAACAAATTTCAAAGTGTAAATTCAACTTGCAGGCGTCGTAGAACCGGTTCAGCTACCGGGATATCTCGACGAGCGAATTGTCTGGGAAGGCAAATCGGTCAACATCAGCGGGTGGGGAAAGATCGGGGACAAAAGTAACTATCTTACCACCAACGCTGCGCGTAGAGTGATGGTTGAACGCATTTTAGATGTATACTGACACACATGCTACTTTTCACAGCCTCTACGTACAAGAATGAAATTCAGAGGTCTCAGATAAAGCTGGTGGACCTTGACCTATGCAAGGTGGTATATGGCCACAACGTAATCGGCGGAAACAAGCTCTGCGCGGCCAGCCACCTGCGGAAGCACCCATGCACGGTATGTCTACGTGCACTAGAACTCCTTCATAATCAATCGTAAAAACATGCGGCAAAAAATTTAAGTACAAAGTAAAAAGAGAATCATTCTGTGTCTAACTGAACTCAATTCAAAAAAATGGCTGTGGTTCTTTTTTACAACTAGATACTACAACTATACTACTTTGCCTCGAAGAGCAAGAGTAGCAAGGGTTGTCAGTCTTAAATTCACGACTGCTTCCTTTAACCCAAAGTATTGCCTTTACTGAGGTGGGATCAACTTAGAAAGTGCGTCCGTCATTCGCCGTTACGAAATTGCGAAGTTAAGCCGTTAGCCACTGACAGGTCCCATAGCGCCTGATAGGTTGGCAACATTTTGTTCGCTGTGCATATGTGTTTTGCGTGGTGGCCTACCCCGAGTCTTGCAGGCGCCGTCCTCTCGTAATTGAAAGATCGAAAGAATTTGAGCAATACATACTTTCTCGATGATAGCAAAGAATCACTGTCCAGGATATGCCGTGTGCCAAAATAACATGGCACTGATTGCAATACCAGTTCTCCCAAACACGGATTACATGTGGTGTTGCTGAAGAACAAGTCAAAAACGTATACGTTTGTTCTATACGTTGTTGTCTTATCAAAATAAGTCTATATCTCCCTGTTCCTTCAAGTCACCCCAAGTCTTCTTACCTACAGGGTGAGCCAGGCGGCCCGGTGACGATACACAGACAGAGAAGACCACTGCTGCTGGGGATCGTCGCCTTCGGAAGCCCCAAGGGCTGCCACGAGGAGTGGCCCGCCGTCTTCACTCGAGTCACCGCCTACCTCAGCTTCATCGAGAAGCACACTGGCATAGAGCTCACAAAGGTAAAGAAAAGATCAGTTGATGACTATCTCTAAGAAAGTATATTTCATACATCAAACATTGGCTCATTTAAAGTAATTTTGTTTTGCAGAAAATGAAAAAAGTGGAATTATAAAACGAAGAACGATTTTAACAATCTAACGGGAGATTAAACTACCTCAGCCCCCAACGGAGGCCTCATTTTGAATTAAAATGACTCAATACTTTTTGTTACGAGTCGCCCTCCTTGCTTTCTCTCACAAAATATTAATTTTTCGACCCGTGCGCTAAGTTAACTAATTGGATCTCAAAACGGTGGCGGCGCCGACAGAGGACGCCTGGCCCTCTAACGGTAAACAATAACTGACAAAAACGGTGTCAGTTTCATCATCATCATTCTGCCTGAATTTGTAATAATCTCATATCTGGCGCTAAAACCCGAACCTAACGGGTTGTCACACACGACCAAAGTCATACATCATGGGCCGCCTCATTAGCTAATGAACAAAACAGTAATGAGCATATAAGATGTCACAATCACTCTGCAATAGCGTCTCGGGCTGATGAGTCGCGAAATCCCCTTAACCCCCTCCCCAACCCCTACCCCTTTACCCTCTCTCTCTCTTTCTCACGCGTTGCGAAGAGGACGGAGCAACTCGATGGCGAAGCGCATAAATTGACGACTCGCTGCTGCGGCAATGGCTTCCCTAAAAAGGCGCCAAATAAAAAAAGAGCGGGAGCCGAAAAAGCGGCGGGACACACATAAGCACGCACCGAGCCAACAAAAGGACGGAATGTTGGCAAAACTGCTTTACGAGTAAAACATCTCACTGATACCTGCGGGCGCATGTGTGCGTGTATAGGCCCCACAGAGGGGTGTTTTTAAGCCGCCAATCCTTTTCTTTTGTTTACTTTCGATGCAGTTCTCGATCGGGTTCTTTTTCGCTTCCCCGTTTCTTCTCCTTGTTCTTCATCCAGAGTATTGTCGACAACATGTGAATCTGAATCAGTCGCTAAACGTTCCCAAACGATCATCATCGAGATTGTCCCCACGCGCGTGTGATTTTTGCAAGCAGCAAGGCGGATAAAAAGTTTAATTGCTCACTTGTGAAATGACGTGAAGAACAACACGTCTCCAGCTGCTGCTGATCGACACTTTTGCAAAGGAGGGGGGCATATCCGGCGCTCCCTCGGGTGCAAGGTGACCAGGCAAACTGTCAACCAGACCTAACCTCACTATATATGTACTGGTTTTCTCACAGCGTAGACAGTAAGAGTAGGGGGG